GCTCCTGCCTGGCAAGCGCAAGGTCATGAGTTCAATTCCTGGTACCAGAAGAAAAACAAACAAATTTAATGATTCTCAGAAATCAGAGTTTTTAGTTTCCTGAATGATTTTTCTCCTAGCAAAGACCTAAACAGACACACAGATGATATCTCAATGTGGAATTCTTACAATTGTAAATTAGAGCCAAGATTGGTTATTAACAAGTAATTCTACATTAAATATGGTCCAGACCATACTCTGTATTCTAAAAAAATAGCCTTGTTCTCTCTGGAGATTGTAAAATGTCCTTATAGCATTTTGCTTAATCAAATTTCATGGTCCAAAACTGAAGGATTTTATATTATCCTCCATGATCCAAGGGAACTTTTTGCAATATGCCCGAGCAAAGACCAGTAGCCCAAATTCCAAGGTATGATCATTCATTCAGGATAATTTAAACTCTAAATCTGATTTCTTTAATAATCCCAAGTAGTTATTAAGATGACCACCTCATGTGTACTCCACCATTTTTATGCTCTCTTTAAGCTAGGCAGCTATTTCTTTTTAGTCCTGGAAACTTTTTGGATGCCATTGAGTTTCAGAGGGAAATGCATTGTTCTAACAGATGCCTTGATGTAGACTATGCCTGCGTTGGATAACAAAACCAGTTACTTCCACTATTACTGTTTCTTCCTCACGGAGACTAATGTTAAGTCAAATAACTGAACATACTTTTATTAGATCATTTGTTTTCAAAATATTAAAATTAGTAACCATCTAGTTTTGACCTTTGCTTTCTTAGGGGAGGTAACTTCCTACTTTCAGAATAAGATGTTAGGATTAGGTGGGGAAAAAATGTCATAGCAAAACCAAAAACAGATCAAATCAAAATTAGGCCCAAGAAGGCAGGATATGGTAATCTGGGGAAAAATTTAAATAAGTATATCTTTAGATGATTAAATGAGTAAGAACTTTGATATCAGAATTAGCAGGAGCCAAAAAAGTACAAATTAAAGTGTCAATTTTTATAAATCCCCTTTATGTGCTTTTGGCTCTCTTAACCTAATTTAGTAATGTTTGATATGTTTCTAAACAGATCCAATATGATATGTTTGTAAAAACATATCTAATAAATAATAAGATGATCTATTTTCTGAATGCTGCTCTTTTTTCAGCACAGCATTTGGTTAAACACTTCACACTTATTATTTTAAAGAACTGGTTAATAAGTCATCTAGCATCACCTAAGAAAAGTAAATTGTTGTAATTACAGTTATCTTGTATTTAAGTTCTAAGACATTATATCACATAAAAATAAGTCATTCATTCATAGGAATATCTGGTAACACAATGAACTTGTAAGAAATTTTTTTTCTTTGTTTTTCTTTTTTTTTCTGGTACCGGGAATCGAACTCATGACCTTGTGCTTGCCATGCAGGCCCTGTGCCGCTGAGCTAAATCCCCACCCCAAATATCTGGTTGTAAGAAATACTTGAATCTGAACTTTCAAGTAAAGCTTAAATGAATTTTAACTAAATAACCTCATAGAATTGTAAAAATATTAGTCTTTTTCTCTGTTTCTCAGGATAGGGAGAAAATCTTGCTATTGTCTACTAAAATTAGTGTGGCATTGAATAGTACCTTTTGGAAGAAACAGATATGTTGTCAGGAAATAAGATAAGAACTGAAAGGCTTTTGACTTGCATATATCTTATATCACCAGGGAAATAGTAATTATGCTGTCCCAGTTGCAAACAAACTTGAAGTGCCAGCCCAGGTTTCTATTCTGAGTACAATTCATGCTTCTACGTGACCCACATAACTGATCATGGCAAAATTTTCAACATAGCTTTCCTCACTAGATAATTGAAGATAGCAAAGTTCCTAACCCATATCCAAGTTTTCCGAGTATGTACAGTCTTGATTTTGGTAATATCTTTCACTTTTGGCTATTTTCAAGCCCTCTGTCTGCATGTTGTTTCCTGGCTGACACAAGTGAAGCTGCTGCTGCAAATGTAAATGACTTTGAAGTCTGAATTGGCAGTCAAGGTTCCCACTCTGAGCACACCTCACGCTTCTATGTGACCCACATAACTGATCATAGCTGATCACGTAAAAACTTCAACTTAATTTTCACACCCCAGTTAGTATATATGAAAAACATTAATGATAGCTAAGGCAGTAACTTTTACAACATCTTTGGGATTCATACACCATCAATTACTGTAATTACTTAGATTTTTCATACTTTATCCTTTTCCAATCTGCTCCATCTGTCTATTTCAACCAGGCAGATATCTTGAAAGCTTGACTCCCTTCTCAAATGTGGAGTCTCCTGTACCTCAGGACTGCTTAAGTAGTCTCTTTTGTCTTAGTTATTAGAGAATTCTTTTCCTATGGCACTAGATATAGCACGGAAATTTCCATTACCCTACAACTTCTAAGCTGATGCTGCATTGCAACACTTAGTATTAATTTGCATTTTGGAATTTTTTCCTACAGGCATAATAGGAATAGAAATATTTCTTATTTTTAATTAAAAGATAGTGGTAAAGTTCAAATCAAGGTGTGTTATAATATGGGAGCCCTTCAAAGAAGCCTGAAGTGTGCCTGGTATTGAGAGGTACCTGAGTTATTTGCAAATAATATCTTTTAATATTTTCCAAAGAATAATGATGTTTCTTGATCCATAAGTCTTGTTAAGCAGCACGAAGAAGTGAAACAAGCACTGGACTAGGCATCAAGAGACCTAGGTTCTAATCTTTCTCTCCCAGTGACTGACAGATGTATTTGTTCCATAACTTCAAGGGCCTAAGCCTCAGATTTTCCAACTGTAAAATGAAAACCATCAATTTGTTTTATTTGCCAAAGCGTAAAAGAGTCTCTGATATTTGTCACTGCTCCTTCGAGTGACAGGATTAGAATGTGTTTTCTGATCGGTTTTTATTCCCTTCCTAGTTATCTGGAGATAGATTCTTGAGAGGCCAGCATTAACAAAACAGCACTGGGGTAACAATTTTAATGAGCAAAGTAAATAGGACCATCTGTGGTTTATCTTTTCAGGGTTGGTGGGCGGGGACAGGAAAAGGAGTTACATTTCCTCTCTGGTTCTGGGCATCTGGTGCTAAAAGTGTCTGAGAAAGAAATAAGGTATGCTTCTTTTTCCTCTCCATGTCAGTTATCTAGTAAATAAGAGAATATTCAAGTTTACTTCTTTTTTTTTCCTTTTTGGTTTTTTGGTTTTTCTCCGGTACTGGGAACCGAACTCACGACCTTGCGCTTGCCAGGCAGGCGCTTTTGCCGCTGAGCTAAATCCCCAGCCCCTCAAGTTTACTTCTGAATGTCTTCAGGTGGAATGTAGTGAGGTTTTTGTTCTGGTTTGGTTTGGTTTTGTACAATGCCCACTCTGTGTTTAATTTCCTTTAAAGTATTCAGCACCATAGTACAGCGGTGCCAGCAGAACAGATAAATCAGATGCACTTCTTACAGAAAAGTTACTATAAGCATAACAAGTTCAATCAGTACATGTGTTCACAAGTGCAAAAAACATTGCTGTAATTAAAAGTGTATCCCATGTTAGACACAAACTTCTTGTAAGATGGATTTCACATGATCCAAGTATTTGCCAGTGTGGTTGGTAAAATCTTTGCCTGAGCTAAGGAAGATAAATATCCCATTCCTAAGATTGATACTATCCCCCATACCTAAGATTTACAGCAATTAGAGAAAAGAAAAATGCCTTGCTGAGTTACCTAACTTTCTAAAATACTTAGTTCTGTTTATTCAATAAAAATTATAACTTTTTCACCCCTAGAGAGATAAAAGTAGTATAAAAGAAGTCCATAAACATCATAAGCAGGAAACTTATTTGAGGTTTAATTCTTGGTCAAGTTGTACCCTCCTCATTCCTGCATTTATCTCAAATGGAAATCCATCTTTTCTTTTTTTAATTCTTAATTTTATTAGTACATGCTTGCAGTGCATAATGACTATGAATTGATATGTGTACAATACAAATCTTAATTCTTTTTATTTCCTTTTCCCCCTACCTTTTCTTTTTGCTATCTCTAAATATAGCTCCTAGCAGTTATATACCATGGATAGACTCATGTTTGGTTTAAAGTCAAAAGGCACTTTTCTGAATACCTTGTCTTTGGAATTTTTTCCTACAGACATAGTAGGAATAGTAAGAAATAACATGTAAAGCAGAAAACAATTTCACTTACATTTTGTGAAAAATAAGTTAGGTCACTTATGAGTATCTGAAATGTAAATTTAATCCAAATTAATTTTATCCATTGTTGATATTTTAATGTTCTGATTACTTCCTTGGATAGATATAGCTTATCTATGAGAAACAGCAACTGTTAACTATCTTATTTCCCCTTTCACTCATTATAAACATCTCTAGGCTGTTCTTTTTTGAAACTTTGAGAGCTATCATTAATTAAAATTTGCTGTTTTACAGGGTAAATATATAACTTATACAAGCAGAGAAAAGAAAGCATTCATGTTGCTAAAGCTCCTGAGATTTTGTGACAATCATTTTAGTAATATTAGGTCATTTTCAAAAGTACACGAAATTAACACACTTAATCATTTGGTAGACAAAAAAAAATGGCTCCAAAGGATTATATCAAAAGGTATATTTAAAAAACACTGCCAGATAATACAAACCATTGCACTTAAAGCCAAATAAATGAAATTACAAATTTTCACAGGTCTATTTTAAGCAATATCAATTAAGATGAACACATCACAAAAAAGAATCTCCATTTCAAACAGATTTCTCCAAGTTCAAAGTTATTTCTCCCCTCCAACCTCAGACAACCAACTGTATAGCTATTTTTGTCTCTGCAAATACTAAGAAAATAACATGTGAGGATTGTCCAGGGTCATCATATCCATAACATCTTTAGGTCTGACAGAATATTTAGTAACTCCTATGAAGAGTACAGTTCTAGGTATCACAGAGGAAAAGCACAGCTGAGAGTTAATTAGGCATTAAAATTGGAACCTACCATTTCGGGTTCTGTTTTCTCTGGAGACCTCCAAAGGGTTCATTGACAGCCACTCCAACAGCACTACTGATCCATGCATCAATTTTTGCTCCTCGTTCTGAGAACAACCAATCTAATCCTCTTTCATACCAAAACGGAAGAAGTAAAGAAGGGAAGGAAGAAAGAAGCGCAAGAGGAAGGAAAGAAGAAAAAAAACAAATGAAAAGAATGCCAAAAGAAAGCAAGCCAAAAGAAAAATGAAAGTAGAAGAAAAAATTAAAATTTTCAGGAGTACTTAACTACTACCATGTTTCCAACATGATAGTGAGATATCTGAGTGAAATATGGAAGATACTCTGGGCACACTGAACATTTCTGCTTCCCATGGGGCAGCATAAACCCCTCTGTCTGTCTGTCTGTCTGTCTCTCTCTCCCTCTTGCTCTATGGTGAATGATGCATGTCTATGCTATGGGCTGTACACAGAGCTTGCAAGCTTCACACTAGTAGAAGAAACCCTCCTTTCTATTTATAGGGCTATGGTGTATTGTCCTCCCATTCTGTGGTTGCACTCAACATTGAATTTGTGAAAATATGCTGTTTTTAGAGATTTTGAGGAAGTTAGATGTTCTCTGCTCCCTTCCATAGATAGTGTAGCACTATAGTGTTGGGTACAGTCTTTCTCACAACTCCTCAGCTGTGTTCCAGTATCAAAGTGGAAATGTGTCTGTCTAAGGATAACGCCTAAGTAGTTCTCCTCAGAGGAATGTGGAATTATAGCCTTCCTTCTGCTTCCTGTCTACCAGTGCTTTGCTGCTGTGAGGGTCCCTGTGAGCAGGCAGTTCAGGTAAACCTGGTTTTATCTTAGATGTTAAGTAGCATTGAATGAAAACAGGCTGGATTCTTGTAGCACATACCCATAGCCTCAGGCTCCTAAAGATGGTGTTTTGAGTAATCCCAAGGCTCAGGAATCCTAGAACCCAGTGCTACACTGTATTAGGCACATAACACCATTGCTTTCTATCATGACAGGGGGATGAAGAGGGAGCTATATTCAGAATTTTAAAGTGCCTCCAAATTAGAGCAATGAACCTATTCACACAGGTTATAGGAGAAGGAAATATGTTAGTGTAGATCCATCCTGATATTAAGGCATATCTGTCTGAAATATTATCTAGAGTACCTGAAGGGTCCTCTGCCTCCAAATATTTCTTCTATTCCAGGGTGACTCTCCTTGAAAAAGAGCATTTGTCTCCATTTTGGCTAAACCTGGCCCTGATTCCAGGTATTGGCATGTACAGAAATATCCTGGCTAGGATATTTCTTTATCCCCTGAATTGGCTTGAAGCAATGCAAATGGGTCTAGCCAAGGAGCCAATGTGTAGTATTTAAAGTAATGTGACAGGTCAGTGATGACCTGGCTATGGTTTCCAACTAGTATGCATGAGCTAGTCCAGGTGAGGCCTGACTGTTGGCTGTGAAGGAGGCTTGAGAAAGAACCCGTGATGTCTCAGGGCATGAAGACTAGACATCAAAGCTAAGGAACTGATCCCAAAACACAAGATACTTCCTCAAGCTGTGTTATGCAGATTACTCTTTCTGCATACCTACCTCTTTCTGCATATTGCAGAGGTGCTATTATGCCTCCTACCTAGCCCAGCTCACAGCACTCACATACTTCCTGCCATAGTCACTCACCCCCAAGCCACTCCCCTCTTCTTGAGTTAATAAAATCCATGTTCAGCCCTTGGTTGAGGCCTTTGTTCAGGTTAGCCCTTGTTCTAACAAGAATTAAGACACCCTTGGCTCTTCACAAATACAGATACATATTTATCTCTTTATGTTCACTGTGGGTTGCACTAGAAGTGGTACCTTGGAATTACTTATTGGAATTCCAATAATTTTTCCCTGGGATTACAAATGTGGACTCAACCAGATGGCAACAAGGTCTGGGAGGGCTTCCTATGATATGCTATACACAATGGAATACTACACAGCTATAAAGAAGGATAAGTCTGACACATTTGTAGGAAAAGTGATGCACCTTGAAAGCATAATGTTCAGTGAAATAAATCAGACATACAAACTTAAATACTACATAGTTTATCTCTTCATGTGAGAAACCCTAAGTACGAGTAAAGTAAAGAGCAAAATAAAAGACTGATAAAATGAAACAGGGAGATAGATACTTTTCAAATGGGAAGGGGACCAAGAGACTGAGGGCAGGGGAGGGGAAGTGAACATAAAAAGATTTAAGATGAGTCATGTCCATGTACCAACTACCCACAGTGAATGTAATCATTATCTGTTGTAAACAGGAACTAAACAATCTAAAATGGGGGAAGTAGACCTAAATGCAGAGAGATGGATGAGAATGAGGAGGGAAAGGCAATAAAAAGAAACAAGATACTGTACATTAAGTATATGTTTCTATTCCCTAAGAATAATATAAATAACATGTACTCCAAATATATACTAATAAAAGAAATTTAGAAAGAGAGATTATGGACTTATACAAGGAAATTTATAAGAAAAACCACAATAATTAGTCTAAATTTGAATTGTGCCTGTATGTTGACCCTTAATTTGTCTTTTTATTCTATATTCATAGGCCTAGGAAACAATATGTATAATACTTTAAGTTAATTTTGTGATTTGCATTTCGATTTATCTGTGGTTTACTGTGACATTCTCTCTTCCAATAGTATTGGCTCCATCCAGGAAACATCTATTGATGCATGCTAAATGCAGTTGTGGATCCAATACAGCTGGGGAAGGGAGAATGAGAGACAAAGAATGGAGGGTAGCTGATAGTAAAAGAAAGCGTGCCAACTTCCAGTACTTTTTACAATCTAATAAGAAAACATAAGATGTTAGGCAACTTTATGCTATTTCTCAAATATAACTCAACACATATATGATAAGGATCTAAAAGTATCCTATGTGCTGCTATAAATTTTCAAAGAAATCAGAGATCCTAGAAGGTTAGAGTAAGGGACAGAGTTTCAGCTTGGTTGTCAGGCAAGTTTTCCAATTGGATATTTTGCAATGGAACCTATTAAAGATGACAGGAGTTTGAAAAGTAAAAATCAGAAAGATACTGTTGTCCATCTTATCTCTTGGTATCTTCATTTTCCTCATGCCTGCTTTAATCAAATAAGATTTGAATGTAAGTATGTCACTTTCCTTATGTGAAACACATCTTTTGAATACTCGGTCTACTGTCTCTCACGTAACTCATAAGAATGAATCTTCATATATTTTGAAATAAAACTCCCAGTGGTGAAATTTCCTGAGTTAGACTACATTTATCTGTCCTACTTAGACCACAGAACTTCAACACCAGCTGAAAACCAAGGGAAAGCTCCTTGGAACCTCTTACATTTCACTCCAGTTTGGTCAAATAATAGCATATAACAGCTGAGTGATGACTTAGTCTAAGCTCTCAATTTAAAGATAAAGAAAGTAATAAATTAAAAATATAATTTAAACATCACAATAAATTAATGTTAAAGCTTAGATCTGAACTTATAACAGTTATTTTCATCTAGCCAGTGTCTCATCACATCTAAAAACTGGATGATATCATTGTAGTTACATAAATTGTAGCAAGGTTTTGTCTTGTTTAGTTACAGAGGAAAGGTCAAATATCAAGTAAATTCAAAAACTGAGCTCTATGGCTCTGCCTTTATACATAAAAGAGGAAGATATTTTGACTAATTATGATCTCTTTGTAAAAGAAAAACGTCAAGCATTTGCTTTGTTTTGTTTTTGTCTGTGTTGTTGGTATTTTGCTACTGTTCTTTTTTATTATTCTCTTTAAAAGAAAAATAAAGATACAGGTAATTCCTTTATCTTTTCTTCATAGTATAATTCTGAAACACAAGATATAGTAATGTGAAAAATGAAAAGTTTTAGCTTTTATTATTGATTTGAAGAGAAAATTTTCTTTATAATAAATATTTCATTATCACCTAACGTTTATCTCATAATTCTAAAATTACTAAGCTTCAACTTAGCTTCTTTATCATGTTGCAGATAAAATATTACATGAAAGCATATGTTATGATAAACCTAGTATTCTAAACTTATTCATACCATCATATCCATAATTTTTTTTGTTTTTGTTTTTGTTTTTGTTTTTGTTTGTTTTTTCTCCGGTACCTGGATCCAAACTCATGACCTTGCGCTTGCCAGGCAGGCGCTTTTGCCACTGAGCTAAATCCCCAGCCCCATATCTATAATTTTAAATACCAAAAGTTTTCCAATTTCAAGGATTGTTGATCTTTTAGTTTGGGGGGTATAATTTAATAATCACTAGAATTTAATTAGCAATCTTTAATCTGCAGTGTTTTATGTCTTGCCATGCAAGTGCACTTAATTAATACATCATCAACAAAACACCAGAATGGTGGAATTAACAGATTAAAATGCATTTTTTAAAAAATTGTCCAAATTATTGTTGAGGGGAATTGCCAGTTAATGCACTAGTGATATTCATTTATCATCTACATGATTACTTGTATTTTGTGGAAAGGAAGATATCTTATGGTTTAAGAGTAAGCCACCTTCAAGGCACTAAACACAGTGTATTATATTCAGTCTCTCACTTATTCATTAAGAATATTTTGAGTACAATTTTATTCCCTTTTATAGTGAAAAAGAGTCTCATAAACGTTAGGTAACTTTGCCAACAAATGACAACTGTGACAGACAAGAAAGACTGGGTTTTGATTCAGAGTTTTAAAATTTAGGTAATTTCAAAGAAAAGAATATCACTATTAATCTTGAGGATACAGTGGTACCTATTGGTAAAGTTTAATATAACTAGATTATATTAATCATTATGAATCCACAGACAATAAAAGAAGATTTTATACATGTAGACTGAGAATATTTACAGAGCTGAGAGAAAAATCATTACCATCTTGGGATGATACAGTTTTAGTGGCATTAGGGAAATGTCATTTTTAGGACTCCTGCATATTCCTAAGTGTACTGAAAACTATCTCTCAGTACCACAATTTCATACATCCTTAGATCAGATCACCTGCTCAACTCTTTCTATCCTTGACAAAGTTTCTAGCTCTATTGGCTCTATCCAGTATCTGTATATTTTTATTTTTGGTAGTAGAAAGTCTCTAAGTTGAAATACTTCACTCCAACCTCTTTTGACTGTAGAGTTTGTGCTGAGAAGTCTACTGTGATTCTGATAGGCTTTCTTTTATAGGTAATTTGCTTCTTTTCTCTAACAGGTTTCAATATTCTGTTTTATGCTGAATTTCTGGGATCATTATTGTATACCTTATGGTTATGGTTAACTGGAGTTCTACATGAATCACTTATCTGTATGTCAGATTCTTTTCCCATGCTTGGTAATTTTTCTGCTATTACTTCTGTAAGTAGTCTTTTTATGTTATTTGTGTTAACTTCTGCTTTTTCATTGACACCAGTCTTATATTGTT